ATTTTCAGTTTTTCTTTTCCCCCCATGTGTTCTTTTTTTTTTAATAGAAATACTCCAGAGAAAAGATATCAACGACTAACTGGCAAGTGGGAGAACGGTGTGGAGCCTGATTGATTCACTCTTTCCCTCTTCTTCTGTCCTCCCCCTCCTCTCTACCTCTCTTTTTTTTTTTTTTAAAGATTTTATTTATTCATTTGACAGAGAGAGATCACAAGTAGATGGAGAGGCAGGCAGAGAGAGAGAGAGAGGGAAGCAGGCACCCCGCCGAGCAGAGAGCCCGATGTGGGACTCGATCCCAGGACCCTGAGATCATGACCCGAGCCAAAGGCAGCGGCTTAATCCACTGAGCCACCCAGGTGCCCCTCTACCTCTCTTTTAAAAAAAAAAGTATAGAGAAGAGAATAAAATCCCATAATTCTATCATCCACAGATAATCACTATTCACATTTAGTGTTTCTTATCCCATGCCTAATGGTGTTCATAATTGACGTTAGTATACTTTTGTTTACATATTTGTATCTTTTCATGTCATTAAAAACTGTCAGCATTTCCTTTTTGTCAGCATAATTTTCACTGACTGTATATATTTAATAAAATGGGTATACAGTAAGTCAGTTGAGTCTTTTAGTTGTTCCTACTGGGATTTCAAGTTTCATAGTTTTGTTGGTAATCTGCTTTAGAGGACCTCTTGCACCAGCATTTAAGTCAAGGAAGGGGGACCACAGCTGAACCAGCCGCTTAGGAATTATTCTTTCCTTCTCCCAGCCCTCAGTATACTGAAGAGAAAGAGAGGCCTAGATAACTGCAGAGGGATGAGAAGGAATCACGTCACTATTAATACCTTTCTTTCTCAGTGAAGGTTCTTTAGGCCTCAGGGCAGACCTGTCCTGGGAGAGGGGAAAGAACTGTAAATTAGATGTGATTGACATTTTAAGTTGGATTAAGTTTGCTTGAAATGGACTTTTTTTGAATACTTGAAAATTATTGGAAAGCTAAAGAAACTGATATTCAGGGATAGGAAGGTGAAATTCTGGATGGCAAATTGAAAGCAATGATTGGAGAAAAATAATTAAGCCACTTCTTGTTTTAATTCTCCACCATGTAATATCGGGAAATGTTTTTTGATTAACTTTAATGATGATATTAATGTAGTAGAGAGATTTGACATGAAATTTATTCCCTCTTAAAGTAGTTAGCCATGTGGATGAGGCATGTGAAAGCATGATTCTCCCAAGTTGTATGGATAGGGAGTCTCTGAACTCAAGGGAGAAGGGATGATCTTCTCCCTTCTTTTTTCTTAAAAACAAAAACAAAAACTCTTGGTTGGAGGGGGGATGAGGAGATGTGGACCAAAGGGTACAAACTTTCAGTTATAAGCTGAGTAAGTCCTGGGGATCTAATGTACAGCATGATGATTAAAGTTAATAATACTATATTGTATACTTGAAATTTGCTAAACTTTTAGATGCTTTTACCATACACAAAAAAATGGTAATTACATGAGGTTATAGCTGTGTCAAATTAACTTGATTATGGTAATCATTTCATAGTGTGTACAGATATTAAATATTTACATTGTACCCCTTTAAAAAACACATCACATGGTGTGACCTACATATATATAATTTTTGTCAGTCATACTTCAGTAAAACAGGAAAATGGCTTTTTCCCCTTGATCATAACATTAATATATTCATACTGTAAAGCATTTTAAAACTTCTGAAAAGTACAGATAATAAACCTCAATGCAGCCCATCACTCCATCCCAAATAGGAACAGCAGCCTTTGGGAATATTCTTACAGGTTTCCTTGTGCCTTCTTAAATTGCTTATTGCCTCTTCCTTTTTCCAAAGCTGAGATCATACTCATAAAATTTTTGTAGCCTGCAGTTGAGGCTACATAGGGAAGCAGAAATGGTAACATAAAAATATTCACTGATGAAGTGACCACTCAGCATTTCTGACTTCTCCCGGGAATTTATCCACCCATTTAGCCACTGTTTCTTTCTCTGTGCTGGGGGCTATTCCAATGCAGATAAGATTGGGAAGTTATTCCTGGAGGTCAGTGAAGGATACTGGAGATCTATATGCTCACTGACAAATCTGTCTAGGTTGGACCAGTTGAAAAACTGATGAAGAAATCAACAGAGATGACAAGAAGATAGGCACTTTATTTTTTTTTTTAAGATTTTTAATTTATTTTTTAGAACAAGGGGGCTAGGGGCAGAGGGCAGAAGGCTAAGGAGAAGCAGGCTCCCTGAGAGCCTGTCACGGTACTTGATCCCAGAACCCCAGGATCATGACCTAAGCTGAAGCTGGACACTTAACCACCTGAGCCACCCAGGTGCCCTGAAAATAGGCTCTTTAAAGAAAAGTATTGCACATGACATCATATTAACCTAACCTTTGGGGAACATCAGTATAGCTCCCAGGTAGTGTTGCTATTGTGATGCCAGTAGCAAGATGAAATGAAGGATGTGGTGTTCTGTTGTATATCATTTTGTTGGAAAAATCAACCACCCCCCCCCCAAAAACCCCACTATTTTTATTCATTCTTTGATCCAATATTTAGTACATGGGTATAAAGTTTGCCTAAATGTTGTTAAACTGCCAAGCATGTTTCATCCTAACATTTATAGGGTTCTTTCTCAGTATAAATTCCCTATCAAATTTTTGTTTCCCATTATGAATATGAATGAATACTTATTATGGATATGAATACTTACTAGCCTTCTACTAATACTAACAGGACGCCTGTATTTAATTTTTTAATTAATTAATTTTTAAATTTTAATCCTGTAAACTGCTTATAACTTACATAATAAACACTGAAGTTCCCCTTATGTGCAGTTTCAGTTACCTAAGATCAGCCTTGGTCTGGAAGCAGATGATCCTCTTTCTGACATGTTGTCAGAAGGTCAGTGGTAGCCTAATGCTGCCTGTGTCGGTCACCTCCCTTCATCTTTATCACATAGGCATTTTATCATCTCACATCATCACAAGAAGAGTGAGTATAGTTCAGTAAGAGATTTTGAGAGAAAGACCACGTTCATATTACAGTATAGTGGTAAAATTGTTCTATTTTGTTATTATTACTGTTAGCTTCTTACTATGCCTGATTTATAAATTAAACTTTATCATAGGTGTGTTTGTATAGGAAAAACATAGTGTACATAGGGTTTGGTACTCAGTGCAATTTCAGGCATCCACTGAGCTCTTAGAACATATCCCCTGCAGATAAGGGGGGACTACATAGTAACCAAATAACATTTTTTCTTGTGAGTAAGCATATGCTAGAAAAGCTATTTTTATCTGAAATTAAGTAAATACTTAAAAGCCTGTAATTGCAGGTTATAATATATTTCCTTAACCTTTTTTAGGTCTAAATAATGGTCCAATATAGAAGGTACCACTTCTGTCTTTCCTGGAATTAGGGCCAGATTTCTCATATTCTTCTCACTCTGATACATTGATGACTAGTCATCATTAGACTGGTATATGCAAAAAGCTTTGCTAATCTGCTGAAGCGGGTTTTTAATTGTGAGCTTTTATTCTTTTAATTATAATAGTTGTCATATAAATAATTAGCATCTGGGGTTTTTGTGCTGTATTCCAGTTCTCCGAGATCCTTCTTTTTACCATGCACATCAGTCACCTGGGGATCTTGTTCTGATTCAATCGGTGTGGTGGGGGTAAAATTCTGCATTTGAAACCAGCTCAGATATGAAGCCAATGCTGCCAGCCTTTGGACCACACTTTGAATTGTAGCCTTTTTGATAACAGTTTTGGGAACAAAAGCCAGTCAAAGCTTGTTGAAGCCATTTCTTGTTATAACTTTATGACACATGCCTTGTTTATTAGTAATACATATTTTTCCAACAGGGAAATAGATGTTGAATTGTAATGTGTGAGTTTTTCTAGTTTTTGTGTTGGGCATACTATCTACAGTGGTGGCATTTAGAAAGAATGAATGTACCGATGACAACAATGATGATGTAGTAATAACTGACAGGTACTGATGACTTATTAGGCCCCAGACGCTGTGCTTTACAAAGATTGACTAAATTTTTTGAACAAAACCATGAAGTAGACATTGTTACCCCATTTAAAAATGAAAGGCTTGGTAAAAAGTTAAATGACTTGCCTGTGGTCACACAGCCAGAGTAGGGACAGAACTGGGACATCAACACAAGAAGTTAGTCTGACTCTAAAGCTTATTGTTTGGAAAATATTTTCTTGTCTGACAGTAGTCCAGAAACTAGACATCATAAAGTGGATTTTCTAGCTTCTTTCCCAAAAGATTTTTTAAAGATCATTTTCCTTATGTTTTCCTTCCTTGTGGCTTTCCCAAGATACTGGTGATCTCTAGCTTTTTAAAGTCTTCCTTTCTGCATATTTGTATTTAGATCTCAACTTTCATATTCTTTTGAAGTAAAAATTTATAAAGAATGAGTAGTAGGTAGTACCCTGCCCTGAATGAAAGATAAAAGTGTTTTTAGTAATGTTGAGACTGTTTTATTTGAAAGACGAGCCCTGGAAAACTTTAGATTTATAAGATTATCAGAGAAGAATGGCTGTTTCTTTTGAGTGTTCTTAAAACTTGGGGCTATTTTTCTTTTTATCTAAATGGCAGTTGTAATTTAGTGATTAATCTGGAGACATAACTTCCATTCTGAATTCTCCTGCCAGACCACCAGATGGTCTTAGAGAAGCCAAGGAGCCCCTCTGCCTTGCCTTCTCAGCCTGTCAAATGACAACACTAGTACCTTTAACTCTTAGGCTGTGAAGGGAAAGAGGATTTGTAGAGACGTTTGTAAAAATTTGTGATAATGAGTGAAAGCTGTTTAGGATTAGATATGGTACCTCCCTTGCAGTTTCATTTGGAAGTCAATAAACACAGCACAGGTCATGATCCCTAAGAATATAACTGGCTTAATTACTCACCTCCAAGTAATAAGAGATTATTTATTTTCATTATCCCTGTTTGTTTGTTTTTTACAGTCCATCAATATTATGGAACTGACTTTACAGAAATATGGAAGTTATGAAAAGTTTGAGCAGGCCACTGGTGGCAGCCTGCTATCTAAAACTCAAATCTGGAGTCATGTTCGGAAGTACATGATGAAAGAAGGCTGCCTGGGTGAGGTATGAGTCGGGAGTGACGCGAGATGCTGTCGGCATTTTAACTGCTCATTAAATTAGTCACCCAGAGATCTCACTATATTGAATTGTTGTGTTCAACTTCTTTGTGTTTTTCTTTAGTTATACTACCCTTTCTGTAAAGCCTATGGGATTATGGGATTTTTTTTAATGAAAATTATAATGAAGCAATTTGCCTCAGTGGCCTCCTCTTATTAGCAGCCAGTTCAGAATGACCAAGCAGTGAAGTGGTCTCTGGCTTGTGTACCATCCTTTGCATCATTTTAACTGGGGCGGGGGTGGGGGGGGCTGTATTTGAGAGCACAACAGGGCACTGCTTCCTCAGCACAGCCCTCTACTTTTCTTCAGTCCAGGAGAGGCTCTTGAGTTGCCCATGCTTAGAAGTGGAAAGGTCAGAAGTAATTATTATCTTCTTGGTATCGGGAGATTCAAATTGGCACAAGCAAAATAAAAATGTACTGGTTTATGGGTCTCTTGTTTCCTGTGAAAGCTTCCTCTCCCCAGCCTCTACATTTTGTTTTATATAAATGTATTTTTGTCCTCTTCTTAGATTGTAGTTCATCTCACTGAAGATCTGCTTTCCCGAGCTTCAATGACAGTGGTAAATGGGTGCCCAACACTGACCATTAATGTTTCCACAGCACGTGAGCACTGGCTGGAGGGAATGCTGAGGCATGAAATAGGTAGGGGTAGCCCTTCATTTGTTCACTTATAATATCAGAAATCAGCTGCAAAGAAACCTTTTTGTAATGGGTTTTTTCTTAGCAGTATTTGGCAAAAGGTAATGAAATTGTTAGTTTTCATTTGAACTATGATATTAATGTCTCAGTTCAGATTAGATTTCTTCAGTACCATGTAGCTGTATTGAGCTTGGATTAACTCCTGGATTTCAGTTCGCCTGTGTTTCTGAAACCAAGGGAAATGGAACTGAATGCTGGATTCCTTTCAGATATCAAGTCTCTGATTCTTCCCTTTAAGAAAATAAATTGTACAAAACTCACACTTCTTTGAATGATACATGCAGTCCTTCTGAAGGCAAGAGTACCTCCTTCAAAAAGCTTTAGGGTCAGGTCATTTTCCACTTTATTTTGATTCATAGGTACACATCAATTTGGTTTTAGAACTGTTGGTAGAATCTTTTTCGGAAAAGAATTAAAATGTCACTTCCCGTTTTTCACATGTCTTTTCTTCTCCATAGGCACACATTATTTTCGAGGTATTAACAACCTTCAGCAGCCATGGAACAGTTGGACTGGCCGTAAAAAACATGAGCTAAAGCCAAACAATCCCACAGAGGAAGGACTGGCAAGTATTCACAGCGTCCTTTTTAGAAAAGACCCCTTTTTATGGAGGGCGGCCCTCCTCTACTACACTGTTTATCGAGCCAGCCAAATGTCTTTCTGCGAACTCTTCAAAGATATTGGAAAGTTTGTCAAGGACCCCAATACAAGATGGGATTATTGTGTACGAGCCAAGAGGGGATGGACTGACACTTCTCAACCAGGTGGGTGTCCCTTGATTGTATGTTTGCCTTATGGTTAGTTGTCTGTTGATTTTGATTACATCCCTATCCACCAGAGAAATCACTCACTAGTGAAAAATTAAACCTTTGTTACTTGAGGTCAGTGCTAGTTTTCCCAAACCATATTTTGTTAGCATTCTTTATTCAGTTATCATTTTGAAAAATTTCAAACCTATACAAATATGGAAATGATAGAATTAACACTCATATTACCCATCCTCTAGATTCACCAATTATTAACATTTTGCCAGTTCTGCTTTTTCTTGCTCTCATTTTAAAAACAGCTCTACTTCATTTGACCTACAGTTTGCCCATTAAAATATATAGCTCAGTGGTTTTTAGAATATTCATGGAGTTGTGCAGCTATCACCACTGTCTAATGTTCTCTTTGACCATTAAATTCTCTGTCAAGCTTACGGCATAAACAGTGTTGAGCTCTCTGGCTCTAAGTTTGTCCAGTTCTTTTATTTGGGACATATCCTCTTTCTTCCCAGTTTTTTCTGACTCTATCTGTGTTAGGAAATTCAGCTGCATCTGTCTCCTGCTCTTTAGAAGAGTGGACTTATGAAGAAGAGCTTCTATAGTGCTGCGTATTTGGGGCCAGGCATGTGGGGCCAGCGAGATCCCCAGTGGTCTGCTGGAGGGGACCTACAGCTGTCTGGGAAAACTCCTGTGGAGGCCAGGTTGGAGGGGGTGGATCCACAGGAGATTGCAGGGGTAGGGTGTGCTGTTTGGAAGCTGTGTGAAGGGTCTGCTGTGTGAGGAGACCTGCAGCTGCTTTGAAGAACTCCTGCAAGGGTGGGCTGAGAGAGCAGGGTATGCTGTTGACAAGCTAGGCGGAGAGTATGCTTGTTCTTGCACGTGTCTATGTATCTAGGCTGGGGCAGGGAGAGGAATGGCACCTGTCAGCTCTTTTCTTCTTAGAGGAGTCTCCTGAAGATCCCTGCTCCTCCAGCACATATTCTGAGATTAGTAAACATAAATCTCCTTCTCATATACCCTACCTAATGTTGCTGCTATGCTGTATCTCAGTGGGGCTGTTTGTTATGCTGTCTCTTTAAGGGCAAGGATTCAATTTCCTCTTGCTCCCTGGCTCCCCCAAATCTAAGCTTGGTGATTTTTAAAGTTCTTCGTATTAAGCCCCACTAACTATAAGAACTCATGAAGTTAAGTCCCTCTGGCTTTCAAAGCCAAACGTTATAGGGATTTGTTTCTGCAGTGTGGGTCCCTTATGTTTGGGGTAGGTGTTATAGGGTCTGCTCCTCTCCTTTCTCTTTGCTTGCAATGTTCCTCTCACCCTTCCCCATCCTTAAACGGTGTCCTCTCCTGAGGATAGTCCTCTGGGTCAGTTTGGTTTCTGACCACATCTCTGCCCTACCCACCCTTTTCAGTGTGCCCTCTTCTCTACATTTAGCTGTGGAGAGTCTGTTCTGCCAGTCTGTTGGTTGTTTTCTGTTGGGTATTTACACTGACATGGGTATTCATAACTAGGTCTACCTGGGACAAGGTGAGCTTAGGATCCTTTCTCAACCATCTTCCCGGTGAGTCCTTTGTCATTGGGGCTTTGATTTGGGTTTCCCTGATGACTAATCATGTTGAGCATCTTTTCATGTGCATTCATTGCATATTTTCTGTAGAGAAGGGGTCTAAATAGACCCCTTGTCCATTTTTAATTGGGTAATTTGTATTTTTATTATTGAGTTGTAGGTGTTCTTTGTATATTCTAGTTACGAAGCTCTTATGATTTACAAATATTTTCTCTATTCTGTGGGTTGTCTTTCACTTACTTAATAATGTTCTGTGACTTTTTAAAAGTACACTGTACACTTGCTCTTTTATTCCTGAACCCCTGAGCATGCATCTCCTAAGAATACAGACATTCTTCTAATACAATATCATTATCACACTTAAGAAAGTGAGCATAAATTCAACAATCTTTTTTTTTTTAATATTTATTTATTTGACAGACAGAGATCACAAGTAGGCAGAGAAGCAGGCAGAGAGAGAGGAGGAAGCAGGCTCCCCGCTGAGCAGAGAGCCCGATGTGGGGCTCGATCCCAGGACCCTGGGATCATGACCTGAGCTGAAGGCAGAGGCTTTAACCCACTGAGCCACCCAGGCGCCCCTAAATTCAACAATCTTAACTAATACGTAATATTTGGATTTCCCCAAATATTTCAAAAAATATTCCTGACAGCTGTTTTTGTTTTTGTTTTTGTTTTCAAATTTAGATCCAGTCCGGGCCCAGGCATTATTATTGGTGGTTGTGTCTCTTCAGCTTCTTTTAATACAGAGCAGTGTTCCCCATCTTTTTTTCATGATACTGAGTTCTATTTAAAATCCAGGCTGTTCTTATAGAATGGCCACAATCTAGATGTGATTGATTGTTACCTCATGATTAAATTCTGGTAAGGGTGTTTGGCAAAAATACTGCATAAATGATACTAGATCACACAGCAGGAGCCACCTCATGACCAGTTGTCTCACCATTACAGATAATGACTTTGATCCTTGTTTCAGGTGGGGATTGCGAGCTCTTTCTTTTCTAAAAATACATTTCCTTTTATCCCTTTTTAATAAGTAATCTTTGAGGTGATAGATACAGTCCTATTTCCCAACAGCCTTTCATCTCATGGTTTCAGCATCTGTCTGTGATCCTTGCTTGTCAGTTTCACTGGAGATTTCTAGCACTTTTTTTTTTTAAAGATTTTATTTATTTATTCGAGAGAGAGACAGTGAGAGAGAGCATGAGCGAGGAGAAGGTCAGAGGGAGAAGCAGACTCCCCATGGAGCTGGGAGCCCGATGCGGGACTCGATCCCGGGACTCCAAGATCATGACCTGAGCCGGAGGCAGTCATCCAACCGAGCCACAGGCGTCCCTATTTCTAGCACTTTTATTATTTTATTTTTCTAAAGAAAATAGAGGCAAGGAGATACAGGCACAGTGCTGCATATTGAGATTCAGAAGCATATTGAGATTTCCAAACATTTCTTGTTCAGATAAGTTTGCTACTGTAATAGAAAGTGTAAGTTTTGTCAGCTTTAAGACTTCAGATTGCCCACAGAGGTTTTGGTAATTTTTTTTTTGTTTTTGTTTTTGTTTTTTAATAAAATAGTAGATTATAAGGCAAAAAATGCTTTTGAGAAAAGGGCAAAAATTAGAAAATGTTCATTTAAAAGTCATTTGGACTTTACATTCTTTTCTTCTAAAAGTATGTAAAACTCAAATGAAGCTTGGAAATAACCCCAGTCTGTGATGGTTATGTTATCAGCCCAATCTGCATTAAGAATTGCCTGTGATGTGGTTGTATGAAAGTGGTGGTACCTGAGAGCCAGGACCATGCAAGAAAAGAAGCAGAGAGGAGGAAGACATCTGTCCCCTGCCTTTCATGTATGCAAAGCCACTCTAGGCTCAGTTTCAGATTAAAAGTGTGTCTGTCATTTCCCATCTCCTTTTCAGATCAACTTGTCTGTATTTTAGTGCTCTGTACCCTGAGGCACAGAGCTTTCATATTGCCTATCATGTTAGTCTAGTTTTTTCTTCACAGATTTATTTGGGGGGGGGGGGGTACAAGTGAGAAAACTGGAGGGGGAGAGAGAGAGAAAGACTTTCCAGCAGACTCCCCGCTGATCATGAAGCCCAACGAGGAGGTCTGTCCTACAAACCTGAGATCATGATCTGAGTCACCCAGGTTGTCTCACATAACTTTTTTTTAAAGAAAACTGTTTAATACTAAAAATTTGAAATTTGAAAAATTTCAGATTTTCAAAAGAAAAGTAATAGGATATACCCTCATTAAACATCACTTCATCTTAGTAATTATCAACATTTCCTAGCTGTGGATCATCTATTCTTCTAAGTTCCTATTTTCCTATAGTATTTTAAAGCCAATTCCAAATACCATGTATGTTCTCTACCTGTAAGTCTTTACTGATAAGGACAGTTTTATTCCTCCTGAAAACAACTCATGAGATCTGAACCTAGTTGAAAAAATGTTCCACCTTTTTTCCATAATTCCCATGCTATTAGCATACTGAAAAAAAGTAATTTCTTAATACAATTTTAGTCCATTTAATAAAGCAGAATTTTATAAAATTTACACAATTTATGTCATGATGGGAGAAAAGTTTTCTTTGTAAGTGGAACACTTCAACTAGTTCAGATTTCATGAGCTATTCCTTTTTGTGTCTTCATATTTTCTTCTATTTTTATTTTTTTTTAAAGATTTTATTTATTTATTTGACAGAGAGAGGGCACAAGTAGGCAGAGAGAGAGGGGGAAACAGGCTCCTTGCCAAGCAGAGAGCCCGATGCGGGACTCAATTCCAGGACCCCGAGATCATGACCTGAGCCGAAAGCAGAAGCTTAACCCACCGAGCCACCCAGCCGCCCCTGTTTTTTTCTATTTTTAAATCTCGTTCTAATTCTTGTTTTCACATGGAGAAAGAGTATCAATATCTGTTTTTAATGGGGTGAGGGGTGGTATTTTTAAAAACTATGAGTTTCTGAACTCCCATCTCCACATTGCCCCACGTGAGACTTACTGAGCTATAGCCAATCCTCCCTGCTGCCCCAAGTGCCTCCTTGCACATGGGAGTTCAGGTTATGAAGAGTGCTATATTTTAAATGATCAATGTTTCTTTATAATTAGAAAAAATGCTGTTTTAACTATGGGGAATGGGAAAAGAAATTCATAAAGGGAAGCTACCAGTCTGCACATTATCCTGGTCCTACCTAAGACCTTGCATTTTATATTATGAAGATAGTTAATTCTAATTTACCATTTTTATTTAGAACTGATGCCTACAGTAAAGGGAATGTGTTAGTAGCAATTACTTAGTAATTTTTTTTTAATATTAGAAAATAAAAGCTCTTGTCTTCCTCTAGGCTGCTTTAGTAAAGACCAGGTATACTTGGATGGGATCCTGCAAATTCTCCGGTACAGAGAGACCATTGACTTTCATCTACTGACTGCCCTGGGCAAGGTGAGTGAGACCAGTGGCATGTAGTCTAGAACACACCAGGTCATCATTTCCTTAGGCTTGGTTTAAGGATTAAATAAGATTCAGATTCCAGTGGTTACTGTTAATTACTGCCAGATCTCTCCCTCATAAAAGGTACCTTTCTTTTTTATATTAAGTAATCTGTAGGGTAATACCTAAGAATGTACTGTTCTTTAACAACCTTTCAAGGAATGGTTTTAACATCCATTGATGATCTTTGCCCATATCAGTTAACTACACTAGTGTCGCAAAATAGAGATCTTCAAATTGTTACATTTCACTCCCCCTTTTAACAGTATTATTATGGACTTAAGTGCTTTTTTATTCATCCCTTCCAGTGGCTGCTCCTGTGTTTTTAAAAACATGCCACCCTGTTTTCTGGCAAAGTAAAATATTCTGGGTCCATCTTATCCAAATCTCAGACAAGATATTTCTCCATGGAAGGCTGGATTCCTTTTAGTGAAAATGGTATTTAGAAAACAAGTACTAGGTGTGCTTATTACTTCTGGAATGTTGATGCTTCTGTGTCTTTCCAGTGAGCAAATCATGTATTTATTTTAAATCATAGGGTGTTCTAATTCACATCACACACTGCAAGTTTTTTACATCTTTCTTCCCATTCCATATGTGTGTCTCCCTTTTCTTCAAATGAAAATTGTGTTTACCAACTGCAGTATTATATCTATTATGTTTACTCATTCTTTCCTATAATAAACTCAGGATGGAGCGCATGGGTGGTTCAGTGGGTTAAAGCCTCTGCCTTCGGCTCAGGTCATGATCCCAGAGTCCTGGGATCGAGCCCCGCATCAGGCTCTCTGCTCTGCGGAGAGCCTGATTCCTCCTCTCTCTGCCTGTGTCCCTGCCTTCTTGTGATCTCTCTCTCTGTCAAATAAATAAAATATTAAAAAAAAAAAAAAACAACTCAGGATGGTTGAAGAATTACTGCTACTAAACAGTGGGTATACAAATCAAAATGGTCCAAAACTTTTGGGACACAGCAAAAGAAGTTCTAAGAAGGATGTCTATAGTGATACAGGCCAACGTCAAGGGACAAAATCTCAAACAACCTAACCTAGAGGAGCTAGAAAAGAACAAAGCAGTAAAATTCGAGTGGAAATTAATGAACTAGAGACTAAAAGATAGAAAAGATCAATGAAAGCAGGATCTGGTTTTTCTAAAGAAAAACAATTGATAAACCTTTAGCCGCCAGACTCAAGAGAGGACTCAAACTGGAAGTGAAAGTGGGGAAATAACTGGTACTACAGAAATAGAAAGTAGAAACATGCAATCCTCTAAAATGGAATCAGGAAGAAGTAAAGAATTTTTTAAAAATTTTTTTAAAGATTTTATTTATTTGACAGACGGAGATCCCAAGTAGGCAGAAAGGCAGTAGAAAGAGGAGGAAGCAGGCTCCCTGCTGAGCAGAGAGCCAGATGCGGGACTCAATCCCAGGACCCTGGGATCATGACCTGAGCCGAAGGCAGAGGCTTTAACCCACTGAGCCACCCAGGCGCCCCAGAAGTAGAGAATTTGAATAGACTGCTTACTAGTAATGAAACTGAATCAGTAATAAATAAATTCCCAAAAAACAAAACGCCCAACAGCTAGAACCATATGGCTTCATGGATGAATTCTACCAAATAATTGAAGAAGAGTAAATATAATTCTCAAACTCTTCCAAAAAAATAGAAGAAGGAAAATTCCCAAATTCATTCTGCAAGGCCAGCATTAGCCTGATACTAAAACCAGACAAAATCTCTACCAAAAAAAAAAAAAAAAAAAAAAAATGCAGGTTAGTATTTCTGATGAACATAGATGCAGAAATCCTAAACAAAATAATACCCGAACTGAATTCAATAATACACTAAAAGGATCACTGACCATGAGTAGGTGGGGTTTATTCCTAGGATGCAAGGGTGGTTCAGTTTTGCAAATCAGTCATGATATATCACATCAATAAGAGAATAAAAACCATATCATTTCAATAGATGAAGAAAAAATGACAGAATGCAACATCCATTCATGATAAAAACCCTTGACAAAGTAGGCTTAGAGGGAACATACCTCAACATAATAAAGGCCATAAATTAAAACCCAACAGCCAGCAATGAAAAAACTGAAAGCTTTTCAAAACCCCTAAGATCAGGAATAAGACAAAGATGTCCATTCTTACCATTTTTATTCCACATAGTCCTAGAAGTCCTAGAAGCAGCAGCAGCCAGACAGGAAAAAGAAATAAAGGCATCCACATTAGTAAGAAGTAAAACCATCAGTATTTACAGATGACCTGATACTATATATTAAAAAAAACAAACCCTAAGAACTCCACCAAAAGACTGTTAGAATAAATGAATTCAGTAAAGTTACAGGATACAAAATATACAGAAATCTATTGCATTTCTATACAATAATAACAAAGCAGAAAGAGAAATTAAAACAATTCCACTTACTGTACTAAAAGCATAAAATACCTAGAAATAAATTAACCAAGGAGATGAAAGACCTATATTCTGAAAACTAGAAGACATTAATGAAGGAAATTGAAAATGACACTAACAAGTAGGAAGATACACTATGCTCTTGGATTGGAAGAATTAATTATGTCCATACTACTCAAAGCAATCTACAGATTCAGTGCAATCCCAATCCAAATACCAGGAGCATTTTTCACAGAACTAGAATAAATAATCCTAAAATTCGTATGGAACCACAAATAATGTCAAATAGCAAAGCCATCTTAATAAACAAGAACTAAGCTAGAAGTATAAAATCCCAGATTTCAAGATATACTTCAGAGCTATAGTAATTGAAACAGTATGGAATTGATACAAAAATGGATGCATACATCAGTGGAATAGGACAGCCTAGATCATTTAATCTCTGACAGAAGCAGAATATACAGTGAAGAACACTTCCTCAATAAATGGTGCTGGGGAAAACTGGACAGCTACATGCTAAAGAATGAAACTGGACCACCCTCTTACACAATACACAAAAATAAACTAAACATGGATTAAACACCAAAAACCTAAAAGGAAACCTAGGCTGTTATCTCTTGGACATATTTATGGATAGGTCTCCTCAGTCAAGGAAGGAAGAAAAAATTACTAAACCACACCAGTATCAACAACACATCTATTTTCATTACACTTAGTGGTATAAATAATAAAATAATTTCAGTAACTTAAAAATTAAAACTTAAGGGGTACCTGGGTGGCTTAGTTGTTAAGTGTCTGCCTTTGGCTCAGGTCATTGTCCTGGTGTCCTGGGATTGAGCCCCATGTTGGCTCCCTGCTAGGTGGGGAGTCTGCTTCTCCCTCTGCCCCTCCTCCTGCTTGTGTGTGTTCTCTAATAAATAAATCTTAAAAAAAAAATTTATGAAAATATAAATGAACATGATTTCTTTATTTAAAGCCTTTCTACCGAATCAGGTTACGGTATTGGTCAGAAGACAGTAGTTTTTAAAGCCAGCCATGTTTTGGAATTTAAAGTTGCAATGTTAATTTATAGAACTTAGAGTTTCATCCATAAACTCAATGTAAATATTTATGAAAGACTGGCTTCTTATATAAGTAATTAAAACATTTTTATAGCATACTTTCTCACAAAGAGAATCTAACGTAAAACACAATTTTCCTGGGTTCTTTCATTTAGATTTAGTCCAGACATTTGTTTAGGTTTTAGAGTCTCTCACATACCTGTATTAAGTTTAGTGGTGTAATTTCTAAACAAACTGGGTATAGGTTCAAGATAGAGTGTTAAATATTGACTTGTTTTTTTATATGGTCATGGTATTAGCAGGCAGATAAATATATATATATTTTTTAAAGTAGGGATTCAGATGTGGGGGAGGAGAGAGAGAATCTCAAGCTGGCTCCATGCCTAGTACGTGAGCCCAATGTGGGGCTTGATCTCACAACCCTGAGATCACAACCTGAGCTGAAATCAAGAAGTTAAACACTTAACCTACTGAGCCACCGAGGTGCCTCAATACATTCTTATTTAATATGGTAAAGGAATGGAAGCCACTGATTTTTGTTATTTTGCAGGTATTAAAGTAATTTGAGGGAGAGTCCCCATAAAACTTCTCTTAAGACTTAGGGAAGATGTTACCTATATTTAAAAATGAACCCATCTTCCTCTTTTCAGGTCTCTTATGAAGATGTGGATCGCTTGAAAGGATTGGCAGTTATTGAAAACATGAGGGTCCCTCATTTCCTGCAGGACCATGGCCGATACATGGAACATTTAGAGAAAATTATGGAAGTGAATGAACTGACCGACAGGGAACTGAAAGATCTTATATATTAATCAGCATTCTTACAGATGTAGCTAATCTATTAACCAATTAGGTGCGGTTAGCACCAGCATATTTATAAAAACAATGACTGTTTACATGACTTTTCTGTAGAATGATCTGCAGTATTCAGCTGAATTTTTAAAAGTTAAGTACAAACCTTAAACTGTTTCCTTAACATGTTTCTATAGGCTGCAGGGGAAAGTTCCTCCTATTTTTATCTGAATCTCAACAGAGTCCAGCGAAAATACTACTGGTGAGTTTTTTGGGTTTTTTTTTTTTTTTTTTTTTGAAGAATCTTGGTCAAATTGAGTGATAGGCTGTCTGGGCAGTGAGCATTGCTCCTTGGTGCTTCTGCCTGAGCACCAAGACTAGCCCTGACTATAGAGATAGAACACTGGAATTCAGACTCCCAAAATTATATTTTATTTTATAAATAATGGTAATTCTCCTTTGAAAAATTAGTTTTATTATGCTCCCCAGATGTAGCTGTATTTAAGATTTTTTATTTCTCTTAGACGTTAAGTAATGTTAAAGAGAGGGGGAAAGTAGTTTGAAAAGTATTCATTAGTTCTTTATTTTCCACATTGTTTCACCTTATCAGTTTATAGGAACTAAATTAGAGAATTACCTCATTTTCAATTATTTCTTAACTAAACTTTATTTGCTAAAACATATTATGTCCCTTCAAGATTTTAAGTTTTAGGGTCTTTCCCTTCCTATTCCTTCATACAAAATAAGTAAAAGTTCCAGAGAGGTTTGTCTACATAGATTAAAATAGTTGGGGAAGAGAGAAGCTACTTACCTTTTTATTAAATGGAGCGACTAGCAAGACACAAATCGACTAATATAGTTCCTGTAGGCACTGGATATTGACTAGGTAGTGTCTACCATAGACTTCACCATGCGCTGGAGAATGGAATTCCTAAACATTGCTGTTTGATAAACTGGCCCGGTCATGTTGGCTCAGTATATTTTGTCAAAATCTTTGACTTCATCAACCCAACAATAACCTAGTTTGCTTTCAAAAATCAGAATTCTGTTTTGCTGCATTTTCTCTGTTAAAAGCTTACACACCTAGCTCTTTATTAACTTACCAATTTTGATATATCTTGGATATATATACTTGGGATCCAATGATTCTTCAAACAACTTATTTTAATGATCAGGAAGAGCACTGCTGTAAACACCCATTCAAAATTGCTACTGAAATTTTTACCCAAAGCTATCAGAGTTCATCTTTACCTCAGTTCAGGTTTAAATATGGTGCTAACACTGGTAGATGCCTACTGCAAAGCCTGGTCCACATTCATGCTAGGAAAAGATTATAGGAACTCTTCTGCAGGCTAGGTTATGTGATTTTTTCTCATTCACATATCTAGAAGGGCTTGCCTCGAAGAATGTTGCCACAAACAGGATGTATTCTAACTGGCACCTGGTAATTCTTGAAAGCCACACATCTCACCTTTGGTAAGTAGCAGGCCAGGCCCTTTGGACCATTAAAGGCACGCACACACGTGTCCTGATGGCTGGAGTGTGGCCTCTAGATCTCTGTGCAGGTTTTGGGCACATTGTGCCAACACTAACCAGGTACTGGAAAACACTCTTGACCCCTCAAGCATATTTCCTTGTAGCAGGGTCATCCAGTTTCAGCTTTGGTGTAGCATTTTTCAAACTTATCCAAGATGATTGTGAAAATGGTGTTTTGTTAACTGGAATGGAAATATAGACAGAAATGACAATATTTATGTCCTGTGATTTAAGCCCACATGCTTACAAATTCAACATTTGTAGGCAATAACACTGTTACTCTTATGTTATGGTTTAAATGTAAAGGAAAATCACAGAAGCCTTAATATCCTGTTGGTAGGATTATTTACAATGATGCTAGTCCCTGAATTTTAAAAATGGATATTCTCTATCTGATTTGGAAAAAGAAATACTTTCTTGCCTTATTGCTTTGGTATAAAGACAAAAAAAACCAGTGCTATCCAGACAGACAAACAAACAAAAAACAGACCTTCAATCACATTGGTTGTCTTAAGATATTTTAAAAGTTAGCAATGAACCAAAAATAGTTCCAGATTAGCAGAATACCTAAAGAGCTCGAAGCTTTAAAAGTTGGGATTAAAGATTTAGCTAATGTTTATTCTCTTTCCTGAAATAGCATTAAGGTCAGTTTTGTTCCCTTAAAATTGAAGTTTTAATAAATTGAAAATTATATCAACAGTACTTAGAATAGTTGAAGGTTGCATTAATTTTAATAGTTTTTAGTATAGGCTATTGAGGATTAGGATTTTAATTTTGTCCACTGTAATTCTAACATATAGTTGTATCAAATATAAAGTCTGATAAACTCTTAGGTTTTCACATCAGATGGGATTCAGAGTAAATTGTAGACATAAGTCCAGTCTTGATTTCTTTATATTTTCACTTTGTAAAATTGTTTAAAATTTGTATGTTTTGTATATATCTGGGCATTTTATGTTTAGCTGTAGTAGAAAGAGCGCTGAGGTTCTCAAATGAAATATGAGACTATGTATGCATGCAAACTTCTGTTCTTTGAAAACTTAATTATATTTTTTGTGGTATTTCTGTGTTTTTATTGGGTGGTAATTATTGATTATGTTTGTCTTCTAATATCCTTGTTTATAAGGAAATACTAAATTTACCACACTCCACCTTTCTCCTAATTAGTTCAGCTTATACTCTCATGGGTGAAGGGAAAAGGAGAGAGGGATAATTTCATCTTAATTTACTTTAAATACAAAGACAATTCAAAACTCTAAGGAACATGAGAAATCAAGGAAACATGACACCACTAAAAGATTATGATAATCTAGTAACCAAACCCAAAGACATGGAGATCTGTTTACCTGATAAGGAATTCAAAGTATCTGTTTTAAGGAAGCTCGATGAGGTATAAGAATACAAGACAATTCAATGAAGTCAAGAAAACAATACATGAAAAAATGAGCAGCTTAATAAAGAGATATCATAAAAAGAACAAAAGCATACTCTGGAATAGAAGAATACAATGAATGAAATGAAAAATATAATAGCACCAACATCAAAGGATCAAGCAAAAAAATATGAGAGGATGGGAATTTTGAAATTATCCAGTCATGGGAGAACAAAGAAAAAATGAAAGTGATGAAAGTCTATGTGATCTATAGGATACAATCAAAAGAAATAATTTTCAAATTATTGGACTTGCAGAGGAGAGAGGGAGAAGGGAAAAGAAAGCTTATTTTAAAAAAAGGCTAAAAACTTCCCAAATCCTAGGAGAAATTTGGATATCCATGTTCATGAAACTCCTAGGTTACCAAAAAATCTCCGAAAACTTCTCCAAGAAACGTTATTAAAAAACTACCAAAAATAAAAAAATCTTAAAAGCAGCAAGCACATAGATAGCATTTGCATCAGAATAAAATGAAATGAAATTCTTACCAGAAAATGGCCCAAAGATTGGCAGAACAAACTCCACTACTAAGTGCTAGGAAGGGGCCACATCAGTGAAGGTAGGAAAGGCAACAGTGCAGTCTGGGAGCAAAACAGACAACGACCCTCCACTGTGGAGAGGGAGCTAGTGGCATAGAGAAGGGTGGTAACAGACTCACACTGGGGAGCCCACGAATGGGGAGGATGAATCTCCATAATATTTGCTTTCCATAGTTTGGCTTTTGTGGACATTGCTCCTATGAATGTGGGGGTTCGATGTGCCCCTTTTTTTCACGACATCTATGTATTTGGGGTAAATACCCAGTAGTTCAATTGCTGGATCATAGGGTTGCTCTATTTTTAACTTTTTGAGGAATCTCCATACTGTTTTCCAAAGTGGCTGTACCAACTTGCATTCCCACTAACAGTGTAAGAGGGTACCCCTTTCTCTGCATCCTCCAACATTTGTTGTTTTCTGCCTTGTTAATTTTTGCCATTCTGAGATGTCTTTCAACAGGTAAGTGGATAAAGATGTGGTCCGTATATACAATGAAATATTACTCAGTCATCAGAAAGGATGAATACCTACCATTTGCATCAACGTGGATGGAACTAGAGGGGATTATGCTAAATAAGCAGAGAAAGACAGTTATCATATGGTTTCATGTATATGTGGAACACAAGGAATAGCATGGAGGACATTAGGAGAAGGAAGGGGAAAATGAAGGTGGGGAAAGCAGAGGGGGAGACAAACCATGAGACACTATGAATTCTGGGTTTCAGAGGGGAGGGGGCTGGGGGGATGGGTTAACCCAGTGATGGGTATTAAGGCAGGCACGTATTGCAATCAGCACTGGGTGTTACATGGAAACAATGAATCATGGAACACTACATCAAAAACTAATGATGTACTGTATGGTGACTAACATAACATAGTAAAAAAATAAAAAGAAAAAAAGTAAGTTAAAGGGACCGAATTTCAGGAGTTCTGAAAACCAATGACTTAAAGCCAGGAATTTAAAAAAAAAAATCTTCGGGCTCAGTTCTGGGAGATCCTTGAGGGAATCAGGAAGCTGAGTCCCTGCCCTTAGCTCAACAAACAGCTCATGCAGATACAGCATAGAATCAGCAGTTTGAAACATGCTGGGGGCAGACCAAAGGGAGAGTGGTTTCCTCATCTCAAAGCATGGCTGGACAGATCACGGAGAGACTCCTCCAGGGACAGAGGAACTAACAGGTGCCATTTCCCTTCTCCAACCACTCCTCACCTCTCCATAACTCGCACCCGCCCCAAACAGTGGGCATCTGCAGGAACCAGTACAGTGCTGCTTCTCGTTAGCTAATTTGCTTACACCAAGCTCCATAACCCTTGCTCTAGCAGATCTGCCCTTCCTAGTCTAGCTTGCCTGAGTTCCTGCACTGTAGGTCCCCCAGAAGACTTACACAAACTCTGCCAACACCACATCTCCAGACCTGTGTGTCTTGTGGAACCTCTGTCCTGGTGGTGGTAGGACCAGGTCTCATTTTACAAGCACATAACCTCATTAAAATTCATCCCCCCACACACCGTTGGTGACCAAACACTGCCTACAATAGGCAAAGACAGCCCCTGCAGACAACTGGAAGAAGGAAAAAGAGGCCAAGACTCAATAGCAAAGGATATGCAACACACATAAGAGACCCTCCCTCAAGCACCAGGCCCTGGGGAATAGGACATTACACTGCAAGGCACTATAGGACCTCTCCTTCATAAGGCTACTATCATTAAAAGCAAGAGAAGTAGCTGACTTTTCTAATGCATAGAAAGTCAAACAAAATGGGGAGACCAAGAAATATCTCCCAAAT